AGCTTGGTGCTTGCTGATCGCATCGAGTCCTGTTTGACACCGTATAACTGCTAATACCTTTAGCTTCCTCAAAGCTGACTCATACGTCACCCTTATCCACTAAGAAACCTAGAACGGGGGTTTTGGAGGCAAGAACAACCATGCCAAATTTCTGTTAAGTATATTCCCACGCATGACCTCAAAACCTTGATGCGGATGCCTCGTCAGAAAAAGTCGCCAAAGGAACTTAGTCCAATTTTTCAAAAGGAACACAGAACTCTTGTGACCATTTAATCAAAGATCCCAATAATCATTGTCACAGCATATTACTTGTGGTATTGACTGGAGGTTGGTGAACATCCTCGTGCATTCAAATCTAATTATTCCATCTTTCAAATAGTTTGCGTGGCCAATGGCGCTGGAAAAATTCTATCAGAGATCATATCAATACCTTGTTTTGAAGACTGCAAAGGAATTGCCTTGTCGTTCAGCTTGCAAGAGGCATGAGCAATGCGCCAGTCTGCAGTTGCCTCTTCATACCCAAGGAAGGAGGAGCCGGAATGTGAAGACTGGCTTCCCATCTGTGGCGTGTTATTTAGCAAACTCGTTGATTGCCTCGATTTGCTTTTGGCAACGAACATCAATATATGATGTAGTATTTCGCAACAAAAAGTACATCAGCCTCATGGACCTTTGTCGGACAGCAAACCGTCGGGCACCTCCGTAAAAAACTTTAAATTCCCCAGTAAGCCCATAAAAGGGATTTGTTCCTGAGGACATCCAATGATCCCTGCCCAAATCTTCTCTCCTTGTCTATTCACCAATAATAATGTTTTTTTGCTCACGTTGAGCAAGGAAAAAATTCAAACTAAACTTTGGATATTTTCTATCGTTTCGAGAGACATTATTTCGACATCGCCGCTTTCAGTATTGACTGCAGCAGTTATAAACTCGCTTGCAGTGTCTTGGGATCAGACACTGCCTTCGTTATAGCAAAACGTGTCTTTATCAGAGGCACACGGGAACCCTCCTCCTGGTCGTCTCTTTTTTGGAATGGTCCAGGTTCCATCACACATGTTGTGTGAACCACATACCTTGTGTGTCAGACATTAACTGAACACACTGTATAGTGGTAATCTGTTCTGTTGTATCAAAGCTGGAAGTACTTATCAAATTACGGATTTTAAAAGCCTATTGGCTATTGTAATTTATATCACTTTACCTCTCTTTACGTACGTCAACAGCCCTCTGGAAGCGAGCAGCACGTGTCAGTTGACCTAAGCCTTCCTTAGAAAGTGTGTGTACACGGAGAGGCGGTTCCCGTTACACTTGATAGAACTAGTAGTCTTTCCAACGCCCACTTTGATGGATTTATTGATGGATAATGTGGCCACAACAGGCAGTGGTCGTCATCGAATCAAAAGGGAGGAATATCCGTACCAATCAGACTGGAAGTGGAGTGTATGGTGAAGCTGCAAACTTTAATCGGAGATCTCACGGTCTCCGATATAATTAAATCGGATGAATATTCAGCGCTAAGCAAATTTTGCTGCGTATGAGCAAAGATTATTGAGATTTTTCATTGCAAAACATACTTACGCCGGTTCGGTCACCTTTGCACAAGTGATCGTGACACCGTCGGTACACACGAACGTCCCATGATAATCAAGATGAAGATCGTTCAAGGGAACGAAGATGAATTTTCTGCGTCTTGGTAGCGAGAAGTGGACATCGCTATCACGATGACTCGAATTTGTTATGACCGTAGTCAAGTGGCCTTTGCCATGCAGCTTTTGAATCACCGTGCAAGCATTGGGCGATGGCGTGGGAGTTCAGCTGCCCTGGCTACTTTACCACATGGCAAGATTTGAAAATGATCGTAGAATCGATGTGTTCACACCGAACGCGGCGTTTCAACAACGGTCAAAGTTTCTGTCATGCTGTCAAGACAACGGCACGTTGTACGACTATGAACAGAAGTCCCGTGAGCTTCGTACCAGTATGGCAAGTGAGTACTGCCAGAGGCAATGACGGTCACCGTGTTTACTATAGCTCCGTGAGCTTCGTGCCAGAATGGCAAGTGAAAACTTCCAGAGGCAGTGACGGTCATCGTGTTTATTGAGGGGCTCGCTCATGGACCACCTAAGACTAAAGTCTTCCGCCAGACACCGACGACTGTAAAAAATGTAATCATGATTACATTGCGTGAAGACAACTGTCAGCGTCAAGGATGTAGTCAACCCGACTGCTGCTACTGATATTACGGATCCAATGGATCTTAGCGTGGTGACTGTCCGTAGGCAGCAAGTTCGTTGTTACGGATATCAACCTTTCAATCACATACGCCGTTAATCTTTAACGTGAGAAACAAAATCTCAATATGGCTGTCGTCGCAATGGTCTCGAGTCATGTGGTGCCAATACCACGAGGCGTTCGGGACACACCGGAACCCAGTAGACCGCCCTGCATCTACTGGGGCAGTTTTAAGCTTTTGGGAGTGTAGTGGTAGAATCATTCATGAGGGTTTGACCCTCGAAGGATCGTTGTCCTTCATTAACGACACGAGTCAGAGTGGTCCACAAGTGGTCACATCGAGTGTGAAGTATAACGGTCGTTTGTTTAGAGTTGTGATCGCCTTTGGCGCGTCGCGTGATTACGGGCGGAAGCAAACTGCTGCTGATAACTATTCAGTACTTTTATATGCACTAGATAGAAGCAATGGTTTTATCCCTGTGTAGTTGCAGATGGTGCAGTGGTCACCGCGAGGAAATTTACGATTGATCCTTAAGTGAAGTTTGAAGACTTCCATCAAAAGAAATATTTACAGTCCTCGAGATGCACAAGCGGTGTGACCTGTTTTGAGGGATATTGTGGCTCAAGAAACGCGAGCCATGGATCATTTCGCGATTGAAAACATTTGGAAGCAGCTTTTCTGGCGTTGGTGAATGTATCGGGAGTGATAAGCCCCTTGATACTATGCACCAGAAGAGTCGTATGCTACTGGAAATGATCCACCTTTCATTGGTAAATGTCATGCAATCGAAATTTCCCAGGTCAGAAAAGATACGGGGGCGTATGGAGTCGCCAAGGCGGTCACTCAGAAAGCTTGCCGATGGATCAAGTTGTACCCGGAACCGGCCACTTGAAAACGAATGAATCGTTGGTGGTCATGGAGATTTGCCCAGCGAAAACTTTTTTTGAGGGAGAGATGTCGGTTGTTGCACCCCTCGAGACAGAGAAATGCTGTCGACATGCGTGCAATGGAAAGTCGAAGGAATCCACTGAGGCTTGACATGCCAATACCCCCACTAATACATTGCTTAAGTCATATTGTGAGTCAGTGGATACAACTGACCACCAAGGAGGTGCTCCCATAACGTTTGTTTGGTTCAGCACAAACATGTAAAAAAACGACGGAATTTGTTGATCGAGGTACTGAAACTCCCGCTCTTGATGCGGTTGAGTGCGCGGGTGAGTTTGTCCAGCGTACTACTCCCCATGATGGTAATATAGCAAGCGAATATGCTGGTCCGCGTATTGTGGATGCAACGACTGGTTGTATAGTTACCAGAACAGATGTTCTTTTGGCATCGTGACCGACAATGGATGGGCTGGTGCAGCTTGAGAAAGTCACTTACGATGGGGGTGCTGGTATAGCGGAAGTCGTGTTGCTACAGTCTAAGGTCACTTCAGCGGAACTACGCTTATTATCAGTTATGGATGGTTCGGTTCTCAAAATTTTTGACAGTGTGTGGAATCACGCAAATATTTTGCTATTTTGAAGAATTCAACAACCCTTTTTATTCACTTGATCTAGAATACAAGGGTGACGTCCATAGTGTGAAGCCGTCCTCTGGTCTTCTACCCGAACGTGAAGTCTGATACAAAATTGATCATGACCTGGTTAAAAGCATGTAATGCTTTGACAGTGGCCACTGTCGCATGTACAAAGTGAGTATATCGATGAGGTCTTTGCTCACGCACGCTGCTGGTTAGGTGAGGCAGAGCAAGTCTCCTCACACCGTCGACATTTTGTGTGCGCAAACCAAATGATAAATGGCGTATCGACCACGCCTAAAACAAGCTAAATGCGCAAACGATTCCAGCTTGAACGCCAATTTCGCGTAATGATGTCCATAGTTTGTGATGCCACAAAGATAGTTCAATATCCCAGCAGCGTCCAATCAATTGGTGTCCATCTGTTTCGACCACTGCGACGCTTCGCGCAAACCTATTTTGACGATATTCTCATTCATTCGAAGGACGAAGATGACAGATCTGTCAAAGATGTGCACTTGTGGTACCTCCGTATGGTGCTAGAATGTATGCGTGAACATTCATTTCAAGCGAATCGTGCAAAGTTTATTTTCGGTGCTAACGAAGTACCGGTCCTCGATTGAAATGTTGGTGTACACAGTGTTCGTGCAGACCCTGAGATGGTCAAAGCATGGTGGAGTGGTTAATGCCATTGAATCAAAAAGATTGAAGGAAATGGATTGGTTTGTCCAATTACCTGCATCGCTTTTCGCGTAACAAAGCGGATATGGTAAGCCCACAATCAAATTTGCTGAAGAAGGACTTACCATGGGCCATCCACTTTGTGAAGAAACATTCATTCAAATAAAAGAAGCTTGATGAAAGCACCATTAATTGCTCTAACGCGTAAGCATTAAGAGCCGTATCATAGCACAATATCACAAGGCTCTTCCTCGCCACGCAGCTTAAGTCAGCATAGTGTATCTTGTCAACGGTGATCTGCATCTTCACCTAGTCAATGCTAGGTTGATAGCATATCAATCTAGGCGATCCCATGATTACGATCAAGATCGAGTGAGATAAACCATCGTCACCTAAAAAAACTCAACTCGGTCGCTAGAACTAACAACTTGGTTTCGCATCTTTACAGCTTATTCTTTGGTTAGACGGACAATTATATTCTTAACATTTTTGCATCAGATTTTAATTAATCATGCCTTATAATCACTTCATACTCAATAACATTGTTCGATACACCAGATTCTATGTATGACCTAAAAACGATCAAAAGTGGTGTCAATTGCACCATTTTTTTAGAGAATCGCTTGTTTGGTTCTCACGTTGGCACAAACATCTGGATCCATCACCACTATACTCGATTGAAATCCAGTGGAAGATACCCCTACCTTTTATTGCACTTGCTGTGTGCTCGAACGTGGCGATACGCCTTGGCAGAGTATCAGGCAGCGGACGCGTTTTTCATGAGCTGGTCCGAGCGCTGTCATGATCTCCGCTTTGTTAGCAAGTCTTGCTGTAGAAGCGATTTGGATCAGACAAAGATCTCAATTGACCTAGCGCTTTAAAGGCACGCAAGCTTGACCATCTCAGACAACTCTGCTGCGAATGATCACAAAGTCGCCTCTCAGTGATTGCTGCATTCAGCTTGGCGAAATATTAAGAGAGCGACTCGTCCTCCCTGCCACGATGCGATGGGTCATCATGTTACATCAGCATTATATTCAGTGAGAAACTAGATTTTGCAGACTTCTTACGGGATAAAGTAATCTCGTAACACATACAGCTGTTTCCTTTTGTTTTTCAGCAGTTTCGATGAAAAAGGCTGGTATCTGCGGCTTCTCCGATAACATTCCACGTCCCCATACAAACATGGAAGCAAATTCCGTGCCGGAATGGGCGAAATGTTTTGAGCCAGTCCATCAGACCTCGATTCGGTCATTTGAACAATTGCTTTAAGTGCTTCCAGACGTAAGAGGGCGTTGACCTCGATAGTTCTTCATACACGGTACTCTCACAAAATTTTAAAAGGAAGCTTCCTTGCCTGGAGAAAAGATAAATCATAGCAGGGAGGTAAAATTGGAGCAGAATTAAAGCTGCTACGGTTCCTGTCGCTAATCGCAATTCGCCCTTTGCCCCCATTGTAATTTTTTTGTTCAGAGCCAACTAGGCGTCTATAACCGTGAGTATTCAACATAATACTTCCCTTTGAGTTTAGTTCGCGAGAACAGTTCTCCCCTGAAAATTATAACCTTGCTAGGTTCTCAAAAATTGGCTCACCCCATCACTTCAATCACCGTAACATGTCTCACGCGTCATAAGCGAAATTCCAAAGCAGGAAAAATTATTTCGTGTTTGATTGGTACATAATGACCAACCTATTTAACTAATTGATAAATGTTCTATACTGATCAATTCGGATTCCCTGCGACATTGTGAGACGGCCTGTCACGTCCATGGAGGGACAAGGCGTGCGGTGATCTGTATAGTTTATTGCTTCTGTTATGCACATTAAATTACACGCGATCAGGCGACAGATCCACCCTGATGTAATCGCTGATAAATGCACATATTTGCAGATCTCGATCCGATACAATGGGTTATATTGCAAGTTATGCTGGTGGAAAGCTTTGCCGTTTGTATCGTTGACAACAATAAGATGTGCCACCTTATTATAACGGTTTACAAGGGCCACATTGCTAGTATAACTGGACGCATCTGATTGAAGATCAAGACAAGTTCGCAAGTATGGACGGCAAACACTCTACTGGAACTGGGAGGCGCAATCAAATGCGACGATAATATAATCCCTAGACTCGTTATATTTCTGCGAACATGTTTTCTCACCCCTGTTAGGCAATCGAAACTTACAGTTGACGAGCAGTGCGTCATTTATCTTTCGATCTTGCGGCTTAATTGGGACAATGTGCCTCGTTTTGTATTATGTGCTTGAGGACCACATTCTAGGGTGCCGTTACACGATGAGTGTGATATGGGTTAGCGATCCTCGGAAATAATGCAAGCACGGTTCGATTAAGCAAAATTGGAACTCTCAGTCGCTTTTTTCCAGACAACTTAGCATTGCGATATATGTTACGTCAGCCCTGGACCTTGTACGAATTGCCTCATTTGTTGCAAAATGATCAGCCTAGCGGTGAGTGCCATCTTTTCTCCCGCCGGAGATCGGAGCGATGCGGGCGATGTGACACGAGCGCAATCTCATAGCTGATGAATGTTTTCAGGCGGGCGATTACGGCGACTGACCCCTAGGCCTTCACAATCGACGATATACATAAGTTTATCGAGTGATGTAACAAAAAAAGAGTTCAAACAACTCGTGCATCATCATCACAAACACAAGATGGTGTGACCATACAAGGGTGTGGGTTACATTAGACGGTGTAATCACACAATGGTGTGGCTACACCCTAACAGGAAGTCAGTACGTGGCTGGACCGCCAGTAGTTATGTATATTAACTAGGTTTTATATTTTACAAGGAAACCCTATAAATTTAGATCCAAGCGGCTTTACCGCAGATAAACCAAAAAATACAGTTTACATTTTGAATGGAAGTGCTAATTAGCCTTGGGTTGAGGTTGTAGATACGCTTGGAGTAAGCGGGTTGCGATCCGCTACACTCGTACTGGTTCTAAGTAGCGTTTACCTTAAGCAAGCTTCCCTAAGTGAAGGAGCTACGGCAGCCCCGCTGCAGCACCATTCATTCAGTTACCTTTGGCTCTACAAATCTGCGTAAGAAACAATTTATGGGTTTATACGCTTCGCTCAGGAGCGGAATCGAGATCATATTTAGTGTTTAGTTAAATAACTTTCGCACTTTTATTATAAACGGGACATCAAATTAAATACTGAGAGTATAAGTTTTACTAAAAAACACGATTTATGGCTTGATGTTTGGCTAACAGACCACATGAACCACAAACCATCCCTTTACAGAGTTTCGTAAACACCATTTGTATTGATACCTCTGAAATACTGCATATCCCCAATTACACAAAAGTTTAATGTAAACTTTGTACATTCGTACAATATTGTATTTCGGACAATTATACGGTGGAAGTCGGTTGTGCTCTGGTTGGTGTATCGTTTGCGGTATCTGATCAGCGCATTCTCATAGCTGGCCTTGGCAAGCAATTTACCTATTGGTCCCTAAACCGGCTTCTCTTTAATTTCTTCAAAACCAACAGTAGACATGGATTTACCAAGCGTGTCTAGTTCTCCGGGGACAGGTATCGAGCAACTTGTGTTACAGTCTCACATATGATACACTCGGTCATCGAATTGCAACCAAGTGTGACGGGGTTGCCGTGCTCCTTGCACAGCTCAATGAGTCTGCATAAACAAGCGCATAGTGAATGGGCTTATGCGCTTCACCCAAATAAACCAATCTCTTGGTTGCTCCTGTATTAGAAGAGTACCTTATGTTCTTGATTTGACTTCACTTGTATAACTTACTATGTTCAATAAAAAAATCGTATGCATCGCATCAAGTGAGGCATGTCTCACGGGCATCTTTTGTCCTATTGTCTTCAGGAGTACCAGTATTTTTGGCACGGATGTTATTATAATGTACTACTATCCACCCTTAGAGACCGCCATGTAGAGCATGCACCATCTATGTAACGGGGTTACACGTACACTTTTATGAAAGGGTGGGTCACACAAGATGGTTTGACCGTACAAAGGTATAGATAGCACATTTAGTGTAATTTCACAGTGGTGTGGCAACACCGTATCAAGAAGCCACCACGTGGCAGGATCGTCAGTAGTAATGCATATTACCAAATCAATTAGGTTCTGTTTTTTTAACTAGATATTACCATATAAGGAAAACCTAGGGTTTTAGATATTGGCGGCTATGACGCAACTAAACAATCAGATACAATTTCGTTTGCCTTGATTAAGGCTTAAGTGAATTAAAGTAGCGAATTGCGAACCGCTACAGGTTCTTGGAAAAACGTAAGGTTGGTGACCTTAGCTTAGCTTCCTCAAAGCAAAGAACTACGGCACTTGATAGCACTTGTAGTCAAACTACGCATTAGTCGTAACGACTGATTCTCTGTGAGGATGGAGCACTTCTCCTATTTTCCCATGGCATGAAGGAGGGGCTTTGAAAGCCGATGTTCCTGCTTGGCCCTGGCGGCGCGCACACCTTGCTTTGCAAGGACCTGAAGCGTTAAGCGCGCGCCGAAAAGTGTTCTCAAACTTTGAAATGCTCTGCTAGAGCACCTAGAGAAGAAGATGTTGGCGTCGTCAGCATCCATGACGCCACCATCAACGATGGATGACTCCTTCCGACCCCAGTCGCTCATAGTGAGCGTTAAGACCTTCGAGGGTTGGATGAAGAGAATATCCTGCTCAGGGTGAGAGGCCGAGATGGCATTGGCATCCGTTATGCTCCAGAACGAGCAACAGCGCATGGCGCTAGCTGCTGACGTACGCTTTTTCGGTCGAATCGGTGTATTCCTCCTGAAGACGCAGCTGTTACGAGTGTTCTCGCCACCTAACCGGGCATATCGCGTGCAATCGCATTTCCTTGCCACCCGACAGGGTAAGACGGAATTGGCGGACTTTGTCAACGAGTTGTAACCTCTCATTGCCGGGATGGCAACCGATCCTCCCCCCGAGGCGGTCGCAGTGACCGCCTTTTTGGAGAGCCTCCGCACCGGTGTGGACGGAATGGAAGTCTTCCGTGTGCATCCGTCTTCCTTTGAAGAAGCGGTGAATGTACCGGATTCAACTTGGAGTCGGCACGAATTGGTTGATATGCACACCCTAGGAGCTCGTTGAGTGAAGGGTTCTCATCTATGCTGAGAAAGAGGAGGAGGAGGAGTTCTGAGCTGCCGAGCAGCGTTTAAACACCCTACGGTGTTTTGTCTGTGGAGACACCTGCCACCGTCGGACTGGTTGTCCCATGCACAAGGCGCGTAAAGGTCCGTTGACCCGACGTCCCGCTTCTTACCACTCTTCTGGTTCATCGAAAAGACCCAGTTGGCGCGATGCGCCCTACTGGGAAGGAACTGAGTTCTGTTGAGCTTTGAGGAGATAGAGGCAGCAGGGCCCCCGAGAAGCTCCGTGCTCTTGAACACGGAACGTGCAAGCCGGGCTTGCTGGTCGAAAAGGCGACCAAGCGTGCTTTGTATCGACATTGAGATGCTCATCAAATTTGTGTGCGAATACCCACTTGCGCTCAATAACTCGTGCACTCTGCTAACGCCTGAGCCAATACCAAGTGTGATTGCGAATGTGTTGCCCGAATTCTTTGCAAAAATATTCTTTTCACTGTTTTAGCTTCAGGTTATGTCATCACTTCTGCATAGCTCGTGAAAACTTCTATTGCTGCGAAAGCGATCTCGTACTTCTCAAGGTGAGGGATTTCGGGGTCCGGTTCACCAATCACTCAGTCGCCTTGTGAGCTCACATGAAATTCATTTGCAAGCAGAGAAGTGAGGCTATTCAACACGAGGTCCAC